TGAAAAAAAGTTTGAAATGCATTTAGGAGGTTTTAGGGATTACCCAAAGGAAATTTGAGATTTTTGTAATGAGGAAAACTATTTTTAATTTGAACATGAAAATTACTTTGCACACACAGACTATTCAAACAAATACTTAGTATAGTCTTTAACAGATCTTTATTTCATTTTATAAAAAATTATTTTTTGTATGTGAAAAACTTGTAATATTAATCAAAAGACTGCTAACTTTTGTGAAGATATACACACTATATTGAAAGTTAGAAGTATTAAATTTATAAAGACTAAATGAGTACAAAGAGGTCACTTTGTCAGTCAAATTGACCAAGTCTGTGTTCAGAGAGTTAAAGGTTTTAGAGGTAACAGTGTTATAATTACTAATACTAAAGTGCTCTTGTACAAGAATTTTTCTAACCTCCTCAGTACTAAGACCAAGATCTGAATAGCACTTTTTCAGTAGGATTCTAGGTTCTCAAGAAATTCTTCATTTTTGTGTGAAGAAAGCATAGTTAAATACATCACTTTTTATAAAATTAGGCATCCCTAAATAGTAAGTTGCTTTCTGTTGGCAGCAAAACTAAACTGTATATAAATATATTTGTTAGTTTCAAGATCTTGCAGAAAATTATAACAAGCGTTTTTTTATTTCTCCACATTTGTTTATAACCTCCAAGACAATGTACCTTCTGTTGTTTTTGCAGTCTCTACCAAAGACTTTTGTACTTTCATATATTACATTTTCACAATCTTTTAACAACTTATTGCAAAGACTTCTAACTTCAGTATAAAAGAAATTAAGCTTGTTATTTTTGTACAAGTGTCCGGGTTTTGAACATAGGCTGGGGTTCTATTACAGTAGGTGTCTGTGACTTATCGGCAATAAATTTGAACAATAAATGGGTAGCACACAATTCACTTGTTTTAAAATAATGTATATATATTCAAAACAAGTCAAATGCATGTACAAAAAGTCTTTACATGATAGTATATAACAGTTGTTTCTGAAATGGTACTACCTCATCTCAACCAAAGCTGTCTTGACATTGATTTGCCTTCTGACCATTGCTAAAATTTCCAACAGTGCACCAGTCTTTTTTTACCCCTTCATTTTTGCACTATTGCAGTACCTTGTGCTGATTATGTGACTACCCTCCACCAATACTGTGCCACCTATACTACCAGTGTCTACCATTCTAGCACAATCCTAACTTTCTTTATTGGCATTATAGTGTATTGATGTGTATTTTAACTCATTCTCAGTGTGACTACAAAATTTTGTTTGTGCTTGGTCACAAATTTAATTCTCTAAAGAATTCTCTTTTCTTGTCAAAATTCCACACAGGCTGATTCAGTTACTTTAGAATCCATTTTTTCTGTACTCAATTTTTTACTATACAGTCTCTGATAAATTGCCTTATGTTACCCCATGGGTTACCACAGTTGTATCCAAAATTTCAAATATTTGTCTCCTTTTGGTCAAAGTCCACACAGATATGTTCAAGGTTCAGTCACTTTGGAACACCCTTTGACAGGACAAATTATTCTCCTTATCTCTGTTAAACTGTGAAACTCGCTTTAAAATGTCAACCATTGCGGCTAATCTCTCACACGCTTGCTAACTTCAAGTTTTCTAACTTTTTTTTTCTGTCTGAACTTTACATTTTTATATTCACTTGACTTGCACTCACTTGGCCACTTATATATATATATCTTGTTCACTGAGGCCTCAAATTTTCAACAAACTACAAGATGCAATGATTTAAGAACACTCGCTTGGCGAGAAAAGTACCAAAGAATCGAGTAACATGACATCAACAATACTACTAAAGCCTATTACCACAATCTAACTGCATACACAACATATGACTTATACAGAGTTACATAATGAAATTTGTTACATCTAAAGGTTTTAAAAGAATAATTAAATATTAACTCACAAAAGATACTAAACAACACTTACAATAAACAGTCTTGTATATCCAACAACTTATCACTCAATGATTTATATGAATGCACTTATTCTACTACTCATTTCTTCTCAATATTTTCTAAGCTTTCTGATCTCAAATACCTTTTTAATTTTACTTAATTTGTACTGTCTTCATACATATTATTTTCGAACATCACTGATGATGGAATATGTGTATTCTGAAATGCCTGACTTATCTAAATATAATTTTTTTCATCCTAATTACTATTTTTGCCTTCATGAATAGACAATGCTTTCTGCCCTTATGAATCTTGTCACTAATGTTTAGTATGTTAAAAGATTAATATCATAGTAACATGACTTTGGAATAAGAAGTATTAAAATTCAGTTACATATTTCTTTGTTTTTATAATTTGTTCAAGAAGATCGACATTATATTTTATGGTGTTATTTAGATATGTGAAGAAATTATAAAATAAACTCCAAAGTCATCTAGAAAATTTTGATATGCACTTTTTGTATAAATTATGGTAACACCTGAAAACCTATCCTATATTGTCTTTGACATTTTGTGATTACTGTAAATTGTAGTTAGAATAGACATTTTTAAGGGTTATGTTAATGTTTTTTTTTTTGTTCATTTGTGAGTAGTGAAATTTTCACCTAATAAATGGTCTGTTGCAATCAGTAATGTTTTGTGGATTAAAAATGTAAATCTTATTTTATTTTGTTACTAAATGTATATATATATTTGGTTTTAGGGTAAATCTTTAGAGTTCGTTAATCAAGATGAACAAAGTAGAAGATGGTTAAATGATTTTAGAATGAAAGCGTTTGCTGTTCCTATTAGTTTACATGCAATAGATCGTAAGTATGCAGACTGTTACTTTCTTGTTAGATTTGAAATCTATGAATCAGTCCCTTGTTGATTTCAAAACTAATAAAATGTTGTTGTGTTAAAAAAAAAGGTTAGTTATTCTTTTATTTTGCTTTGTTAAGCTTGTGTTTCTTTTAAACCAATTGGACTTGTGTGTACTGTTTTTATTGGCCTTCCATGAATTATACATGTATAATGCCTTCATAACTGAAACAAAGAAAAGTTTTTGAAATGTAAATAGTGTTTTAAATGTGAATTTGTAATTTTTTTTTCTTCTCTTGAAGCATCCACCATTAAAAGTTTCACATTTTTCTAAAATCAAAAGATTATAATTATAGACATGGATAATTTTAACTTGTACAATAATTAAAACTTACATTTAAATTTGTGGTATGATCACTTTGAATAAATTGCTGAAAAGGTTTGTAAGCTAAAGCAAAATTTTATATGTGATTAGTAAAAATGTCTGACTTAGCAATACATAGGATGGGTTTGAATATACATGTAAGAAAATTAAAAATAGTGTGTTTGACAATGTATAGTATAGAGCATTGTATAGTTTTATGCTAGTTCAAAGGTTACTTCAGTTTATTTCACTACAAAATTTCATACAAATTAATTTTATAAGGTAAAACCTTTATTATAATACATAGGATGATAAATAATTGCTTTTGGCCTTTGGCCTACATCAGATTATACTTTATTGTAATATAGGCAGACAAAACCAAAACTCGTGGAAGGGTTTTGTTGGATACTAATATTTTTACCTTAAAATATTTGTATGAAGTCTGTCAGAACTTTTAAGGTACTTCAAACATGATTTTGAATTCTACTTTGGAGATTTATTACCAATTGTAAAGAATTCCATATATTTTGATTTTGATGTAATCTTAATTATGTAAAGCATGAGAATTATTATTAGTTGAAAACAAATGAGATTATTAAAATATGTTACAAAAATATCAAAAGTATATTTGGTAAAAGTTATCGAGTAAGTAAAAGAATACACTAAATTGTAACATAATTAAAATAAAATCATGTTTATTGATTTTTTGTGTAATATTACAATGAGATTTGTATATGGGGAGTAAGGGGCCCTGAAGTTGTAAACTCATAGGAGCCTCAAAGATTACCATATTGGCTCTGTTAGCAGGTGGGCCTTTTATAAGTTGCAATTGTGTTTCAAGTGGTTCCCTGGGTCCCAAAAATTTTAACTGTTTGTATTTCATAAGTTGTCCATTATGAGTTAAACAAAAAGTATTAATTTTTTATTTCACAAATAGAATTTTCATGATTTGTGACCAGGCTTGGAACATACCGGGCTGAATATCACTCCTAGAAGTTAGAGTTTTTCCCCTAGTCTCTTTTTTTTTTTTAGCACACAACATTTTAGCCAGACATTTGTTGTATTTGCTAAACCATCCTATTATTGGATATATACTTATCATCAGAACATCAATTTCCACCTACCATACATATACACCCCATGTTCTTTCTCTTGTTGCGACTAAGTTAGATCAGATTTGGCCACCCAACTACATGTTATTCCATGCAACTTAGGGTTAACAGAAATGAATACATGCAGTATTATTCAGGCCTTTTAATATTAAGATAGTTATGTACAAAAATTCAGAAGTAGAATAATCTCAAACTTTCTTATTTTAAACAGGTATTAATAGCATTCATTACTTGTTATAAGTGTCAAGCTTCTTGTTAGATTATTAATAATTACATTTCAGAATGTGTTGTGGTATTTTTGTTATTTATTAAACAAAATGTTAATATAAAAATCATGATTTGTTATGAGGTGAAACATTATAAAGTTCTACAATTTGGTTTAACCAGAATAACTTATATGAGCGTATCAGTTTTGAGAAAAAAAAAATAGTAACACGGTTGATATCTAAATGATTTATTGTGTTTTGTGTTTAGCTGAGAGATACATGTGTCTTATTCTACCCCATTCTCCTGGTGCTGCCACAGACCTTGTTCATGACAAAGATTTAGCTTTAATACTGAAACATTTTGTCAAGGAGAAGAGTAAGTATTGACTATAATTCTGGAAGTGTTTTAGTTTTTTATGGAGTTGCAAATGATTGCTTCAGAACAA